TCAGCATATTGCTGACTCCTCAGCCCAAACCTCCTGATGACCTCTCCCAGCGGTTTCATGTAGATGTTGAACAGCATGGGGGACAGTATTGAGCCCTGAGGAACAGCATGACATAACTGCCATGGGGCAGAGCAACTGTCCCCCAGCACCACCCTCTGGACACGGTCAGCCAGGAAGGAGCGGAACCACCGTAAAACAGTGCCCCCAACTCCCAACCCAGCCAGCCTATCCAGAAGGACACCATGGTCGATGGTGTCGAAAGCCGCTGAAAGGTCCAGGAGTATCAACAGGGTCACACTCCCCCTGTCTCTCTCCCGGCAAAGGTCATCGTACAGGGTGACCAAGGCAATAGATTTATTCTAGTTGGATTTACGCTGATGCATTTTAGCGGAAAGTTTAAATCAATGCACCGTAGGCCCATGTGAATCGATGGAATGTACTGAGGGGTTGACTCCCCAAATCCTCACTGATTCAGTTAGTCTACTCTAGTGCACCTTACTACTCTAGTGCATCATGGTGAAATCATGCCAAGGCTGCCAAGGCTGAAAATACCCAAAACCCTTGACCATTCTGATCAAGGGTTTTGGGTATTTTATACTCAAAAGGTAGCTTGAGGTAAAAAAAAAACTTCTCCAAGCTCTAGCCATTTGTACTGTGATTGTCAAAACATTGGATGACCTTATGGGCCTTGTAGCTCAAGAACAAAAAGGATTTGGCGATATCTTTATTTTATGTGGGAAAATGGTATGAAGACTTTACTACACTGGTTGCTCCAGGTTGTTATTTCTGGCTGCAGATTTGAACAGATTATCCCAGTATTTGCATCCACACATAGCGAGGGATTTTGTTGTTGGATGTACTGGGATGCACGTACAGCTGGACGTTTCACTGCCAACAAGTCTGAACTGAACTCCCCTATGCCTGTCTCTCTGCCCTCTCCTCATCTGCTTCATTCTTGGCTCCCTTCACTCCTTGTTTTAACCATCCACATGGCATGGAGGCTAGAGACTGACCAATGCAGTGCAAGGCTCCACATGAGCAGATCCTGCACTGGATCCTACTGGTAGTGTTTTTTAAAAAAACCTGGAAAGCAAGAATTTTTGTTCCAATGGCTTTATGTGGATACTGGGATGCAGTACCATTAAAATAGCTTCAAGGGAAGTTCAACAAATGTTTTGTGTGAATGGGCTCAAAGTTGCCATTTTGATATGCTTACTCCTTTTGAAATACTTTTTAAATATAACAACAACAATAACAATATTCCATGAAGTCACTGTAACTTGGAATGGACATGCCGGCACATCTATTAGTGGTAGTAGTAGTAGTCATCAGTAGTCGCTCCAAAAGATCTCCTGTATGGAGAATCACCCAGAGGGAGACCACAGCTGTGACACAAGGGTATCTGCAAGCAGGATCTGAAGGCCTTAGGAATGGACCTCAACAGATGGGAAATGTTGACATCTGAGCGTTCAGCCTGGAGGCAGGCGGTGCATCATGGCCTCTCCCAATTTGAAGAGACCCTTGTCCAGCAGACCAAGGCAAAGAGGCAGTCCTGAAACCAGTAAAATCAGGGAGCTGGACAGGGGGCAGATTGTATTTGTCTTCAGTGTGGAAGGGATTGTCACTCTTGAATTGGCCTTCTCAGCCACACTAGACGCTGTTCCAAGTTCTCTCTATTCAGAGCACATTATTATAGTCTCTCGGACTGAAGGATGCCTAATCAGTAGTCATCAATGCCTTCAGGTCCATTCTGACTTGATTACTCTTTTCAGGGTTTTCTAAGTAGAGAATACTCAGAAGTGGCTTTCACTGCTCATCTGCAGTGGAAGTTAAACTATTTTTTACCGATTCACTTAGATTAAACTAAAAGAAACCATTCTTTTTTGCCTTTCTGTGTACTGCCAATTGTACTCTGTTGTCTCAATGAGCATTACACAGAAAAACAAAGAAAAATAAGATTTAAAATTTAATTTAAGTGAATTAATACATCAGCAATGATCAATGGACCTAATAAAAATAATTTCACTTCCCCTGCATCTCTGTGGACAAGCAGGGAAAGTGTTCAATTTGCCAGTATTCTGAAGCAGCTCATAAGCCACTTCAAGGTACATTAGTGCCTCGCTTAGCGATGTTAATTCATTCCGAAAAAATCACTGCTAAGCGATTTCATCGCTAAGCGAAACACGGTTTCCCATTGAAATGCATTGAAAACCGGATAATCCGTTCCAAAAGGAACGAATTGCCATCCTTAAGCAAAAATCGCCATAGGAAACATCGCTAAGCGAAACGCGGTTCCCCAATTGAAATACATTGAAACCTATTCAGTGCATTTCAATGGGGGAAAAATACAACAACAAATTAAAAAAGAGTCAGAACCAAATCAAATTTGGTTAGCAAAGGGTTTATTAAGTGCACTTTATGATTTCAAACATTTTAAACTGTAAACTTTAACTTTATAAATAACAGAAAAACATTTAAAAAACAGCAAACATGAGGCTGTTTAAACCATCATTAAGTGAAACAGGGGACCCAAAATTTAATCGCTATGCGAAGCATGGTCCCAACCATCGCTAAGCGAAAATCACCCATAGGGACCATTGCTAAATGAAGCGCAAAATGCTCCGAAAAGTCATCGCTAAACAGAGCGCCCGTTAAGCGAGGCACCACTGTACTGGAAATTTACTCTGGAAGGAAGCTTTGATAGCTGCAAGGCTCTAGTTTTGTCCATTCCAAATAAACACACATGCTGAGAATGGACTAAACTGGAGCCCTCCAACCTGGTCTGAAATAGAAAGGTGGCTCGGTATGGGTTGGGAGATAGTGGTCTGCTCCAGTGATTACCATATGTGGACATGGGAAGAAAGAGTGAATCAACCTGCCTCACCAGCACACCAAAGAGTGGAACATATGCCTGTGTGGACACCCTCTAACTTTGGATGTAGCCCCAGGTCCAAAACCATAGCTTAAACACGCTCTCTCTATCCTACCATTTTCACTCTGATTCAGTCACTACTGTGGTGTGATCTCTGAATCAATCATGTTCATAAGTATCATTTAAGTGGAAGGACATGTAACTGGCAATTGTGTAGTAATTGCTATTGTATATGAATTATCTTCGGTGAAAAACACTGTTACATTAAGCTTCCTTTTTCAAAATTGTCCAACAGAGCTTGTTCCCAGAACCTTTGTCCATGCAAAATAATTCTGTGCAAGCCCTGAAAACCTTGTGGGAGAAAACCCAGCTGAAGGGAACTCACACCTTTGAAACGGCAATGATTCAATCTACATTTCCACATCAGAAGGTAAACTTTTCTTCCTTATGAGTGTTTTGCATTGATGTGATCTGTACTCTGGGGCCAAACTATATATTATAGATATTAGAAGCTGTTACCTGCTTTTAGAAGCTGTTACCTGTACTGTTCTAGGTCACCTTCATGACTGAACAATCAAATTTTTCAAAGTTTTGGTGCTACCAGGAGGATCACAAAGCAAAGCAAGCTAATCTGCAAACTACTACAGGTGTAAAAATTCTCCTGTTGTGGCAGTCAGTCTTATTTCATCACTACAAGAATCCCCTCTTCTGTTTACAAATAATCTGTGATTTATGGTTTGGCCCACAGGATATGAAAAACCCATGCTAACACCACAGAACCTCCATATCAGAGTCACATCAGGAGTGTTCCAAAAATGTTGCTGGAATTTGATCTTTTGGAGATGTTGCGTATTTGCTAATGTTACGAACGAAGCCAAGAAAATGAGGGAAACTAGATTGCTTGGTTATTAAGGATAACATAGATATAACAAAAATAGGGGAATGGAGAGAATCAATGGGTCATGGTTTTCCCTGGATGCTAATTCTGTAGAAAAGAGGGATGGATATCTGGGAAGTGGCATATCTCAAAAAGTTTAATAACATTCAGTAACACACAAAACTTGAGGCTGCACATGTTTCTATTCCCACATTCGTACCATAACACCAGAGGTGTTATTTTTATAAAACATTTGAATTCTTCCTGGTTAGCTAGAAGCTTCCCTTTTCTAAAGAATTCTAAGGTTGCAACACATACCCAAGAGAAAGATTTAACACAACAGGACTTATTTATCAGTAAACATGTTTAATATTGTGCTGTTAAAAAAACTCTCTTCAAAGAATGTTCCTCTCAGGGCCTTACTAGATAAGATGCTGACTCTAACTAGAAGTAATATACTCTTGAGAGGAACAGATTCATTCTTCCACAAGCTTGCCTCAATTTGCATCTGATGGATTAGCTTCCTTTTGTTTTTTAATTGAATAACTGGGAGGTAGAACAATTTTGTTTACATGTCTGATGTCTCAAATACACAATGCTGCAAGAGTTGCAAATTCAGAAGAAACACACCAACTCTCAAAGCTGGCCTAAAAGTTTGACTTGTGAACTCTGTATTTTACGCCATATGTCTGAAGAATTGGACTAGTTCATAAAAGCTCACATTAATATATAATTGTAAATCTTCATTTGCTTTAACGGAGCATCATCTGATGCACAATTCACAGGTTTGCTGCACCCAGTAATAGGGTAGGAAATGTCATGGGCTGAAATCGTGTTGTAGTTACACAAACGGTGTAACTTTTATCTGTGAATTGCTATAAGTTAAGAAATCTCTGTAGAAATTACCTGTTGAACACCAAGTTGAGCAACTCAGTATGCAATAATTATCCTTAATGACTATAGAGATTTTTAAATTTATGGCAATTCACTTCCAAAGGTTGTACCATTTGCGTAACTGTGCAATAGAATTTCAGCTAGTGTGTTGTATGACCAAATCTACTATATTTTGCAACATATGAGTTTTGTGTGAGAAGGAAAGAATGGAGGAGGAAGCAAATGCAGTCAGCTGGGTTGGAAAACACCACATGCACAGCATGTCCATTAACGTAAATTACTTAACTTCATTGTTAGCTGTTCTCTTGGTGTTTATACTATTTTACAAGAGCAGATGAGTAGTGAAATAAAACTTTTACTGCTTTAAGTTGCTGGACAAATATGCATGATTGAACATGCCAATATTTTTTAAAAAATATTATTTGTGTAGAAAACTAAAGGCCACACTACACATGATATTAACTTTGTTGTCTGGCTTGCCATGAACAATTCTGGTTTTTTTTAAAACCTTAATTACTGGCATGGTAGACTTTAACCTTTTGTTCCATGTCCTTCCAGTTGGAATGAGACCCCCCTACACCTGGTGTTTACAAGGGAGAGTGTCCTATTCCCATGTCAGGCAGCAAACAAAATTGGAGGGCCATGGCTAGAGCACAGAGCATTTGTTGGTTTGCCGCTTTTCCAATCCCTTCATTCACACCACATTCCTGATTGACTCAAGGAGGCCAGTTTTGTTAACTGAATTTTAAATATTAGGGATGTCAGGCCAGACTATAGAAAGAGTTTTGGGCTCAGTAAATTCAATTTTTTTTAATATTTTTTTTTTTGGACTTCAGCGTTCAGTATCCTTATGTTGGTTAGGGCATTCTGGGAGTTCATCCAAAAAAGCCACTGATCATGCCAGCTCGAGGATTAGGTGAGCTTAGATCCAAAAATATTTTTCTTAACTGTAGAATAACCTTATAAATTGCTATCCCCTAAATATGAAGAATTGGAGAAGTATATTAGCCTATAGCCTTTCTCCTGATATTCCAGCTTTATATGGTTAGGAATGCCTAGGGAAGCATACATATATGCGACTGCACTTTTTAACACTTTTATCTGCACTGTGCTTTAAATCTCCCTCCGCCTAAGTTCCTCCAGCCATTTCTCATGCTCTGTTGAGAATACTCTGCTGAGACAGACCAGGAGCCATCTAGTCCTATGTCCTATTTCCAGCTATGCTAGCTGAGGGATTCTTTGATGTGTAGTCCAAAAAAAAGTTAACTTTTCCAAGTACTGGTGTAATGTTGCTTTTCTGTTACTAATCCCCATCACTTTTTTCCAGAGGTATATTGCTCCCAAGGATAAAGTTTTCAATTAGATATCATGATCATACCCACCTGTAGGTTTAACCACCATAATTTGCATAGGATAGTGGTACAGAGCTAAGATTTAGCAAACCTAGCCCTATATGAGAAGTAAGCTGAGTCAGGTGGTGCATGCTGTCTTGAGGTCCTTGGCCATTCCCTTTGCTTTGAAGAGAGGTTGCCCTGCACCTCCTAAATTAGTTGCTGTCCATAAGTGTCAAGGCATGCTGTCACATCACCAGTGTCAAAGCAAAATTCAGTTGCCAATCTGACTGACTTCAGTTTATAAAATGATGGGGGAGCGTCCTCTTGATTTTTGCCTTAGGTAGCAATATGTCTAGGAACAGTTCTGGAACCTATTCTTCTACAGTGCTTCTATTATCGTTATGCTGTGTGGCACTTTGAAATGCCATTGGTTTTTGCCCCAAATCCCTGACACATGCTATTGATATGTGAATGGAAAATGCAAATGTTATATGGTCTTTGTTCTTTATTGAAGAGGAGAGAAAATAGTTTCAAACAGCAGACTAAGAGGGAGCTGTCATGATGAATTGTTTAGCTGCCTTTTGCAAATTCACATAGCTGTGGGCTATGGCATGGACTCCAGTAGGGTAATGATTTGCGCATGCTCTGTTCTGTCAGCCTTTGCCCTCCAAAAAGATTACTGTTTCAAAGCAATTACATTTTCAAAGATTGTAAGGAATACTGTTTCAAAGCTGAGCTAACGATTTCTGGTCAGAGCTATTAATCTTTAATTGGGGTTCATGGGAATAAGCAGCGTGGAATTCCTTTAAAATAAAAACATATTTGAGGTTAGTCTTGACTGCCTGCAATTTTCTTTTCTTTTCCAAGACAAAATACACGTGCGCACACACAAGCTTAGCATAATGTTGCATAATTAAAACCAAGCAAAGAGAGATTCTTTCTAAAAGGTTCACTGACATTTTGACTGGAGGAGGATGTGGAAAAGATCCATTAAACTTGCAGGCCAAGAAAGAATCAAGCTACTCTTTCCCAAGGCGAATGGTGGGATTTTTACCTTCCCTACTAACACTGGAACACAATGCAAAACCATTTCTTGAGATGGCACGATGCTTTTGCAAGTAACCTTCGTGTCATAAGAAAAATGTCCTAGTCCCTACAATTTGTGCAACACATCTGCCAGGGGGTTGTCTAAGTTTCTCTTGGATGGGTGAAGTGTTGAAGCACCTCTCAAGATAATTGGTTCCACTGTCTTGCTGCTCTAACAGTTAGGACGTTTTTCCTGATAATCAGCCAAAATCTAGCTTCCTGTAACTTGAACCCATTGTTGCGTGTCCTACATAATATTGAACTTTCTCTTTTAAAAATTGGTTCTGTTCTATGGGAAAAAACCACCCTTCTGGCTTTCAAAACAGTAGAAGACATGCAGCCTCTATTTCAGTATTTCTGATTCCCTGACACTTCTTTGACTATCTTTGGCAGAAGTGATATTCTAGGGTCTTTAGGGATTTGTTTACTAGAGGCTCAAATTACACACTCCGTGTGTGTGTGTGTGTGTTTGAGAAAGATATGTGCTGCCAAGTTACAAAAACCTTAACAAGGCTTTTGTTACATCTTTAGTGACATATTTAAAGAGTGGTTTTATATAAGTTTCACCCCCACCCCAAAGGGCTGAGCAGGGATTTGGACCCAAGTCTCTGAGTTTTACTCCATCACTCTGTTCACTATACCATATTGGGAATTAGAGATGAGCATTTTGGATTTTTTTAACTACTAATCCTATAGTTGTCCTTTCTGCAAGTACCACTTATAGGACCTAGACTTTACAGAAACCTAAACTGTGATCATTTGGAGAGAAGGCCCAGCACAAAGCCTTTAAGCCTTGAGTAAGGTTAACTTCCTGTTTTAAAAGGAAGCTACCTCAATGATTGCAAGGAAGCTTTGGTGGTTGCTGGGAAGCTTCCTTTTCAAACAGGAGTCAACATCTGGGATTTTCCTTTGTATGGTGTCACTTTATGAATGGTAGTAGTGCTGGGGGACTCCTGCTCAATGCCTTGACAATTAGCCTGTAGAGTGTCTCAACTGACTCCTTTTTTCATCAGTTCACCACTTCTTACCTAAACACAAAGCAATTGTAGGGCTGTTTTTCAACAAGTGTGAATGGTAGTGAGCAGAAGAAGGCATCCTGTAGACAACATTGACTGCTGTCATTGGTGTTATCAACTTTCAGGCTGCCCTTTGCTGTGTAAAATTTGGCATCCTTCTTCCTGCTGCCCTACACAGGCATGATATTGTGCAGCAATATTGGGTCATTTCCTGGCTTTTTGA